TTGCCAGGAAAGGGGGAGCTGAAACATTATACAAATTGTCATTAACAATGAAGCATGAAATTTAGGAACAAAGTCTTGTATATACAGAAGCGCGCAGTACTGATTCAAATGAAATAAATTGTCATAAATCCCCAGAAATGTTGCACCGGGTTTATTCGAGGGAAATGAATATTCGTTGAATTTACAAAATATTTCCCCAGCACCATTTAAAGGAACAATTCTTCGGCCCGATGAGATGTCTTTTCCCGGGGTGCAAGTTGTCCCGAAAATGATTCCAGGAGTCGACGTATGACGGTAAAAGTTCCAATCGATAATCTCGCAAATCTCCCGGATGGACTCCCCTTCGGAAGATCATCCAGCCTGTCGGTCGTAATTTCGTCGTCGAGAGAAGGCGCCGACGCGTCGCGTCGCGGCCTCGCAAGAGGGGAAGAAAACTCGGCGGGGCCGCAAATGGGTCGCAGGGTGCGCCGTGGGTAAACAGAAAATTCTATTTCGTCGAAAAACCGCCTCGTTGGCGCGACCCCGAAGGGTCTTCCCTTTCTCGGGAGCGGAAGTGCCGGGCCGGCACGTTTGCGCCGCGGAAATGCTTTCGGACAACCCGCCGGAGAACAAACATCTCGACGTCTCGCGAGGCGTCAAAGAAGAGCCGGGCTCGTTTATCAAGGCACCGCGACCACCTCGGCTCGGTAAACACGTTCCTGTAAAGCACGTGTCGCGAAATGTCCCCCGACGAATGGGGAATCCGTGACCAAGAGGAGAGAACCCGCCTCCTGTACCTTATCGCGAAACATGGCCCCCTAAAAAAAGCGAGATTTTTAAAATACCTGCAAATATTTATCCGTAAACACCGGGTACACGGCGATCCCGTAACAGAAAAAGGCGACACCTCATCGTAAAGAAGGGTTTTAAGGAAGGTCGCCGTACAGTGGAGTCGCCATTTTTGGGGTGTAAAGTAAGCGCGACTCCTTTCCGGTTATTTCATAAAACGGGGCATTACAATGCTAACATTAACGCTCTTATTGCAACTTGAAGTGACATCAATGGCGCCGACGTCGAATTGACGATCGGTTCGATCGATCCGTTTCTTAATCTTATCTTAATGAAGTCTCCCAGTCCATGAATTTCCCTTCCCACGGACATCCGTTCCTAGCTATTCGCTATCGCATCGAAGACCGCTCTTGTAGTCCCGATAAGGGGTATTAAATTTACCGCCCCTTCCTTCGATTTCTCTCCGCAGCGTCCTTTCTTGCGAGATGCTTATTTACCCGATGGTTAATAAATAAGAGAGTCGAGGTACACCAAATGACTTCCCTCCATGCCAGGAATATTCGTGGTACCCACCCACGTGGTACTGGTACCCACTATCTGGTATGAAAATGCATTAAAGCTTACAGAAAAAAAAAAAAAAAATAATTCTAATCTAGAATTAGAGAAAAAAATTCTCTTACGGGAAATAATACCACGAGGTATATCGCGGGGATTTCTTTTGCCTCGCGATTTCCCGGGGCAGGAGAGTAACGAGACCGTCCCCTTGAAATACTTATCGAGGCTCGCGAGTGGGTGCTCCGGAGCTCCATTCGGCTCGTTCATTTCCTCATTGGTCGTTGTTCGCGAACGGTCGGCATTTGGGGAGCTTCGCAAGCTCTTCGGCATTGTTTCCCCCGCGATTGACGAATCGCGCCGAGCTTTTTACGGGCTCGCATAAAGAGAGAGTTTATGCCCGTTGCCGAGGTGGAGGCGCGTTTCCGGCGAAGAGACGAAGAAGCACTCGGGAATTTACGTCACTTCGTGTAAAAGCCGCGGCTTTGGCCCGCGTTTCCTCTGCCCTGTTTATTCGGTTGCTCCGGGTTGCTCGGTTGCTCGGTTGCTCATTTCCCCGGGATCTTTCGGTCCATCTCGCCCCTCGAAAACGACGTCTTAGTGGACGCGAGCGTCGCGCTTGATTCCGCCGCCCCCCGGTTCTTTTTTCTCTCTCTTCTTTCTTCCCGGCCTTTTTCTCCTCTCCGACGTCTCTTCCTCCGCCTCCGTTTCATTCCGCATGCCGGGAATTTATCCGCCGGACGTCCATTCCAGCGAAAACCTGGAAGAGACGGTACGCGGGGGGCGGATTTAACGAGTTAGATACGTGATTTGCATACGTAGCGATGCGATTGTTATTACAAATTTCATATTCTTCGGTAATTAGATAAAAAATCGGCGCGTAACCGACAGGTACTTTGGAAGGGAAACTTATCAATTAAAGACGGTATTCCTTCAAGAAGTGCTCTTACGCGATGGTACTACTTGGTTCGTGCTTTATGTTTGTCACTTTTATGTCATTTTGAGGGTGAATATAATTGTCTCAAAATTAACGCATTATTAATGTGAATAGTAATTATTTGTCAAGAAGGAAAAAGAAGCAAGTCCTCGTTCTCATAGGAAATTTTACTTGAAGAGTGTAACTGCATACGGCTCTTGTCATAATATTCGATGGAACAGTATGTAAGAATGGTTTTCTTATTAACGCGATAGCTTGTCGATGACATGGATGAATATCTCCCCCAAGCCTCGTATTTCAGGTGATCGAATGACACTGCCACAAAATTGTCACCCTAATTGGAAGCGCCTCCCTCGACGTCGAGTATCGAGAAGCCTCCCGGAGGCTTCGAATTACCCTGAAAGGACTTCTACGAACTCTTGCAGATTCCCATTGATTTCCGTTTAACTCGGGCTGAATGGCGCCTCGTTCTTGATTCAATAGAGTAAAGATCGGGTCTCCTACATCTCCGAACAAATGCAGAAAATATACGATCACACGGGAATATTTATAATTATTCCTACGGCCGATACTTATCGGCAAGAATTAAAATTCCCTAATAACAATATGCGACGTAAACTTCAATCTAATTAACGCCGCGTTAATGAGCCCATTAACCGGGAATTCCGCTGAAAGCGAGAAAAAAAAAAAAAAATCTGCGATTCATCCCTCCGTTTACACGCCGGAATTTTTTCCCTCCCTTTTCACGGCAAACATCGAGGAAATACATCAGGTCGATATAGAATATCGACTGTTAAGAGTGCTCGAAGTGCTCCTTTACGAGCGGCAAACTGAATTTCCCCAACGAAATCATCGGGATTCTCAAAGGTGCCGAGGAATTCCCAACGTGTAGCCCGTCTCCCTCAAGATGGGGTTCGAATTTACATAGCTGCAAAATAGGGAACGAAAGCGAGAAATTCTACGGAATTCCACCTGGGCACAAGGAAACTGTTTCGCCGGTTTGACCACCCTCAAGTGGCATAAAAAGGGAGGAAGACCACTTTCATTAATCTCGCTTTATTTACTTAAGGGCTCTGCAAGCGCCCTCCTATTTATTCCTCTTTATTTACTTAAAGCCGAGAATGAGCACTTTTATTTATCTCTCCCTCTCCATTTACTTAAAGGCAAGAAAGAGCGCATTTATTTCCCGCGTCTTACCCCATATATATATATTTTTTCTTTTTTTTTCCCCTCTCACTTTTTCCCGTAGTCGCGGCATTATTTCAAGCCCCTTGCCTGGTAATGCCGGCGAAAGGGATTTAACAAAGGTCGCGCAAATACGCAAATCCAAATCTTCCCGTTCGGCTTGCGTGCAAAGAGCGATCGTTAGCCCGTCCGCTGATGTGGATGCAATTAACGGATATCGGGCCGAGTAAAAGGGTAAAAGAGAGGGGTCGAAAACAGTAAGTGCGTCGAGTCTCACCGATTGAACCAATTAACCCTTTCGTTACGGAATTGTCCGCCGACATGGTACCTCTGTGTGCGAAACAATTGAGCCATGAGTACATACATCACTGCAGGGCAATGCCTGCTATTTTATTACGCATCGAAACTATCGGTATCCTACCTCCAGTAATTTCCAACTAATGAATAACAAATACTCATGATGGTGCGACGAAATCTTAAATATTCTCCGTTAATATCTCTACGTTTGGAAAATCACGATACGAGGCCCTGGATATAAAGAGAAAACTAATAAATTCATGAAAATCTTGGAAGTTTCATTCGGACATGTTGCACTGGATTCAAAATGCACTCTTAGAAATGTTTACTGCGCATATTAATTTTACATGCCGGATAACGCCTGCTTACTATTTTTTTTTCTTTTTTTTTTGCGCAATTGTGGCAACGTTATATCTATGAGAGGCTGCACTTGTAGAGGTGTATCTTTGACACGAGAAGTCAGGAAATTGAACAATTCGTTGCACTATCTTGTTACATTGAAGGAAAGAAATATTGCCGCGATATCCCGTCGTTCCAAACATGCCGATCGACTCTTTGAAATCGAATCCACGAGTGCATCATTTTTCTCCTTGCGGGTCGTTATACAGGTTCTCATATTCTGCGCACCAAATAAGGATATTTCTCGGATGCTCTCCCATTTCTATCTTTCAAGGAAAATTTCCGAGCTCGCCTTTTCCCGGGCCGGAGAAACGACTGATTGGCTTTAGTTCCATCGGGATACGGATTCGAAAATAATCCTAAATAATTCGATATTAAAGCTCGACGCGCTTTCGATCACTATTTCGTCTCCCCTGCTTCGGGGGATTTAAATTCCGGAATATTCGCTCGAACGCTCCCAATTTTACGCATATTCGGACAATTTGTATAAAGAGCGACCCTACATTCGGACGCGACTCGAAAATGGGGTGCTCGAGGTACACTTTGGGAGAAATATTTGACAAAAGGGACCATTGCCGTGCCGAGGATTAATATCGCTTTTATTTGACACAGCAACAGTCTATAATCAATTGTAATATAACTTTGAATTCTCTAAAACGTTAATTCCATTTCTGTTTACTCCATCGTTACTCTGCGCGCATGAGTACTTATTTACATATGCATTATATAATTGTTACTTATTACGTAGATACTAAAATTGTATATTGAACAGTCGTATAAGGGATATCGCATACATCTCTTGCAAAAAATAGACGAGCGCGATTTTCCACATTTTCAATACAGTCACACTTCATTCCGGATATAATGCAGTTATTAAAGTATTTATTCGCATATTACATTTTTTACGAGCTAAATCAAACTAGAGTATGACTATTTATTTATATACAATAATCTTATACTAATAGCTAACGCTCCGTCAATTATTTGTTTTTGATTACAGAAATTTCTTTTTGCAAAAGTCACCATAAAAACGATACATGATATTGTAACGTTGCCTAAAAATATATTTTTAACAAGTCATTTCACCATCACTAGATAATGTATATTCAAATGTAAATTATTTACAAATTTAACGCTTTTAATGATGACCATATTAGTGCTTCTTAATGAAAGGTCATCGAGTTAAACGATGCCTTTTATTTAACTTTTGTACTGGTTACATTGTATCTATACAAACCATACAATATCATTATATGGCAAAAGTGCAATCCAGCACTGCTAAAAACAGTACTTGGATAGACATTCCAACATAGTTCTATAATGCCTAAAAGAATAATTTTAATGGCAGTACTGTAATGCGTGCACCATGTAAGATATGGTAATGTATGATAATACCATACATAAAATTGATAATGTAGTGATCGACTATACACCATGCCAATGAAATTTGCAGTAAATAACGGTAAAATGAACAATTGCGATACAGTGGACATATCGACAGCCTCATGTTTTCGTAATTGCCTAGTAACGTCTTTCTCAATGCACTTTAATTTTGCATAAGATTTCAGGTACGTTATCCAATGGGATGCAAAATAGGCCAAAGTAAGAAGGTGTAAAATTAATAAAGAAATGTGAAAATACGGATGGAGAAATACTGCTTCTGGTAAAAATCTCCAATTTACCGTCCACTTGAATTCGAACACACGACCAAAATTGAATGCGTACTTTATATAGGCTATTGGATTTGTGATGAGGAAAGGTAAAGCTAGTATTATCTGTACAGTCGCACAAACAGAAAGGTGAATTATGGTATCTCGTAGGCCTAAAACCATTAAGTATGCTACGAGCAGTGCAGGGGAAAATAATAGAATATTCATTTTCACTGAAACTGCTAAACTGTACAAAATGCTTCCTAAGTACCAACGGTTGTCCAAGAAAGCATTTACAGCTGCAAAAAATAATACCATCGCTATGGGATCATTGAACAGTCGTAACACAAATATGGAATGAATTCTATATGAGGAGCAGCACATTAGAATCAAAATAAATGGTGGAACTTTCAAAGTTTTGGCATATATTCGAAAGACCAGTATTAACAGAATTGCATATACAATGGCAAAGAAGTACTGTGCGATTCTTATGTTCATTCCAAATATTGTTAAATAGTATAACATGGAGAATATATAAACAAATCCAGCAGGATATACCAATGGTCCCGTGTCACCTTTCAATTTTGAATAGTCTAAAGTTCCATTTAACACTCCCTCAACTTCCTGCATATAAGCCCTCCAATCGATTTCTGTATATCGCACCTTTTCAATAATTATAAAATTTATAACTAATTCCATTACGACTAGTAAACACGCAATTACAGGTACGTTCTTAGCATCCATCAATAAAGACATGATTTTGCTCCACTTACAATTACTTTTTATCCAATTTCTAATCATCTTCTTGTACGGCTTAAAAGAGAAACCATTATTTCGATTCTTTGCCTGCGGTGCCATTTTTAAAATCTTCGCCTACTTTTTATTTACCGTATTTGAATAAACTAATTTCTTTCCTTTCCTTACCAGACTGTATTTTAATCGCTTAAACCCCAGACAAACATTATCCCTCTACGTGATCTAATTTACCCAGTTCCGATAATCCAAATTTAGACCAGCTAGGACATTACCGCATTTTGCAAAAGTGGACCATGCAATTGGCACCAACCGAGATAGAGATTGCACAGTTCGTCAAGAAATGCTTCATCCCCAAACCATGATTACAAGCACGACTTAACAAAATCAATACAATCGATCCGTAGTATTAACATTTAAACTTATCGCTTAACGTTCTATCCCTCCCATTTAGCATAATTTCAATTTATACATTTTCCATATGCGAAGCCTCCACTGCGTTTATCATTCAGGTTTTTTTTCACACACTGCAAGTGCGATCCACATCTGCTACAAAATTGAATTACTGTCTATTTATCTTCGTCAACTTAAAATTCGTTCATAGTCACTCGTGATAACCTTACTCACATAAACGTACACCAAGTAACAGCGAACTTCCGTGCGTGAACTATTTCTTGACTTTCCGATATTCTGGATTTAGACCGGCAGGTCGATATCAGTTTTTACGAGAGCAAACCATGCGGCGTTATCAGCACTCGTGAGTGCACAAGTTCTGTGCTTTATAATTTATCATTTCACTCCGTGACGACTGCTAGAGAATACTTTAACCAACTGGATTACTACTTCGCAACAAACTTTGATGAATTTTAATGGAGGAACTGGCTCTTCGACTTCGAAAATCCAGAGCGACACTCTCTGCGAAGAGAGGTTAGGATGAAGTGGGAATACGGCGCCGCGTGTTTGCAGGAAATTCGTCACGATATTCAGCGCCATCTGGTGTCTCGTTCCATGAACTACTTTTCCCGTCCGCTTCCGAGCGGGCATTTTTAAATCGGATTAAAAATTACCATATTACTGGAATATTAACAAATCGAACTTGACCATTTCAGCGCGATCCCGAGCCAGTTTTTATGAAAATAAATAATCAGAGTCAAAGTCGAAAGCGATATCGACTTTCTTCCTCTTTAGTCTATTTTCTTATCATGAAGTACCTGGATTTGTCGAGAAAAGAAATTGCAGGAGGTTCAGCTTTTTAGGAAAAATGTGGATAGTTGTTACATTTAGTTGCATGCATGTAGGGAGAAGCATTACAGTTTTAAAAATCAAAGATTTAATGAACACCTGGGTACATTAATTTTGTATGTATGCGATTTATCCACTCTTATACTCGCATGGAAGTTTTCAAGCATCAAAGTGCAGGATCTAAATAAACTGCACTACCTCCCTGAGAATAATTAAATGCTTCAATTAGAACCCGATGTACTCTGATTCCACCGATGTATTTTCCTGGCCATTCATCATTTTGATAGTGATTCGAGGATCCATCACTCAATGACCGTCGGTGCTCGAAATGTCCCCGGAAGTCAGCTGCATATACATCATCGCCGATACATTACGTGCATTACCGAAGACGAGTACTACATGGATATGTCTGACGGCACTCGGCCATCTAAAAGCAAGTACATGTATATGATCGTAACCAGGCGAAGTGCGGTTTCGAAGTGAAACCGCGACAGGAGACATCAAAGGCCGACGGCGAAGTATTCCAAAGATGAGTGGAAGACGCTTTACCGGAAAAGAGGAAGAGTGGCCAAAAAGAGTTTCCACTCGGAAAATGAGTACGAGATCCATCTAGGAAAAGGCAACGGAAAGGACAAAGCGAGCGAAAGCGAAATCCAAATTTTTTTTCACCCCTGTGTAAATAATAGTATTACCTACATATTATCACCGCAGTAATAATTCAATAAAATGAATTAAAAAGGAATAGTAAGATTGATATATAATTTCTGGATTCTTCATTAACGATATCTAATCACTGGACATCGTGTCAGAAATGTTCAGTTTTACCGACCTGTAACATTCGAAATTCCTCCGGAATTTCAATGGCCCTCTCGCTGCGCATTTGCTCCAACTTTCTTCCAATTTTTTATTTAACTTTCACGAAATTACGGGGACTATCGGGAGGAAAAGTCGGGGATAGGTTGCGTTTACTAGTTTTTCGTCGCCTATCGAACCCGCCTCGGAAGAGTTCACGCGAATTCCCGCCGGTTCTCCCGAGTTTTCCCGAATTTCCCAGGGCCCGTTAAGCCCGGGCTTGATTTCGGCGATTCCCCTGGTTTCCGAAGCGCAGAGGGCCATTCAATTTTCGGATGAGTTGGATTCTCGAGCTTCCGTAGAATTTCCCCAGCTTTCACCTGAATCCCTTCTGCGTGGGTCTTTCCCTTAGCCAAGGCATTACCAGCCCTCCCAATCTATCACCGTTCGATTTAGATGTTCGATTCGGCCCAGGGTTGATGTTTCCCATCCAGTTAGGAACGGCTTTAGGTCCATTCAAATGGAAAGCGATTAATCGCTTTTGCCTCGTCAAACTTTTACTCGCACCCGGACGTCGATGTCCACCGATCGGCCTTTTTTTTATTCGAACGGTCTCTCGGTTCCTGATTAAATGACGAATTTACGTGAGAAATTTCTTCTTTCTAATCCTCCCCCTTTCCCCCACGCCATTGAACAATCTTTTATGCGCCACCATTCATAATAATTCGATACATATAATTTAATTGTGGTTGATAAGTTCACGGAGACCTCAAAATAAGCAAAGGAGCCTTTTTGACAGACCAATCATGGCATGTTTCCGAAAAGTAACTATAATTGTTAAACAAGTTAGAGAAAAAAAAAAACAAAGCTGAGTGCGGAGTAAATTGAAAAAAATTAAATAAAGAGAATGTGTAAATAGTGACACTTTTCGACTTTTCATTCCAGTTATTGCACGACTTTAAGGTGCTAGGTACTTTTTAATTTAAAAAGCATAATTCATTTGTCGCGATACTTGTGAACAAACTATTGTTATCAGGCATATCTTGTCTACTTTAAGCTACGACGCGATCGTTCCTCTTTGCTCGTAGAATCAAAAATTCATGAGGTAAATACCGCCACCGTATCGCATTATGGTCGATGGCCGAGCAATAATTTTCATATGACGTGTCCACCCTCTTCCAATAAATTCATAGTATTATTCGCGTACCGAGGTAGGAAATTACTGGAATAACAGGTTGCGCCCCATTGTTCGCCACCGTAATGCTTTATCGTTATCGCGATTAACACCGAGCTAGAATTACTATTATTTCGGCGATGTAATTATTCCAAGTGGTTAGGTCGACAAGTGGAATAAAACTTCCAGCACGACGTAACCGATTAATGAACAATCAATACTGCCGATTTAAAGAGCCGAGGAATTCCTCATTTTCCCCAATTTCAATCATTAAATACTCTACGATGCCCCATCACTGCAGTTTAGTTGCATCGTTGGAGAGTATTTCATTTATGCGAGAAAAATGAAAATCGGGAAACCACTCCTCGTGCAGCCATAATCAATCAACTAATTAATTACCGTGCGTCTGATTAGGAAATACCCAATGCTTCGCTTTGGCACTGATAGTCTCTCGAGATCGATTCACTTCATCCCCCCCTCCCCCCCACGTTGCATTTCCGCCTATCACGTCGATTATTGAACCCTAATGGAAATCAAGAGTCTAAATCCAGATACAGCTAAAATTTCAGACGAGCATGAAAATTACAGAAACAGTAAAATAAATAAGCAAAAAAGTTACTGTCATTGCTTTGAAGATTTTCCGACATTTTCCGGCTAGTTGAATCTTTTTATAAAAATTCCCAATGTGTTAGTCAATTTTCGTATGTAATTTTTTAAACGTTCTTTTTTTTCTTCTTTCTATTGCACTTACTTATACGGCTGCTTTTTGCATTTTTATTTCGCACTTTCCATGCAGTACGTGTAGCCTGGTTGTACGAGGGGAATGAATTCAATGAAAACGGATTATATTAGGTGTCCTTTTTGCGGCGGTCGTTCCCTGGAAATTTGATTCACGAGCCGTCACGTAACTTCCTCTCTCGGCTTCCTTTCGGTGTTTCCGTAAGAGTCCTTAATTGTAATTTACCTACACGCAGCGGAAACTGTCGGCTCTCTCGTTCGTCATTTTACTCGGCAAAGTTCCTTCACGACCGCGTTGGCTTTCTAAAGAAGCAGATCTAATTTTGGGATATCAGAATTTGTTCTTCCAAGTACTGTTTGGTGACTTACGAAATAACGCCAAATAACGAGTCGCACGTCCTGAGGACCTTTTATTTCAGCATTAATATACAACATTGCCATACTTTAAGTCACCGTGACATTACTTGAGACATTTTCTCTGAGTTTCAGCCAGTACACGTTTTCCGAATTTATAGTGGTCTTTTTTAACTATGCAGTTTCGAGTCGCTCCGTTTTTGTTGGGGAGATACTTTTTCGGGGCGTTTCAGCGCCGGACTTCCGAGAGAAGAAAAATCCCGGGAGAGGGGAAATTCTCGAAGAAGAAAAGTCTGGACCGAGTCAAGGAGGCAGAACAGCAGTCGAGAAGACGTCTGTCTGGAAGAAGCTCCTTCCAGCCCCGAGGAGAAGCTCCTTCCTTCGGAGGCCTGATGGACGACCCTCCGTCTCGCGAGGAGCTTTCGCCGGAAACCGATTACTTCGGACGTTAAGCGGCCGGTAACCAGCTTCCATTTCTTATTTGTTCCCCGGTTTTCATGGCCCAGTCAGTTTTCCCTCCCTTCGTCGGGCCTCTACCGCGATTTTCCCGTGACGTTTCTCGTTGGACCACCCGGCACGAATCCAATCGCCTCTCTCGTCCCGACCCGGGGAAACTCCCGCGGAACCCACCAGGGAGGAGAGTACAATCTGGACGAAAATCCCATTTCCGGGGAGACGTCGCGGCGACTTTCCGAGGCGTCGAGGACCCTTCGATTCCGATCCGCCCTCTCGCCACCCCGTGGGGTGCATGCAGATCATCTTGAGAAATCCCTGATTTTCAAAGACGAGCTTTTACTCCGAAATGAGATAGAAGTCCTCGTTGCGGATTTTTGAGAAATTGAGGCAGATACGTAAATGCAGATTTTCAGGAGTACGAGATAATAACTCGATACTATAAGTACTAGGGGATGCACCTGCCAGATTAGATGTTCGTGATATAAGCGATGTACTTTTTAGAATTTCATAATTCTTTAATACAAAAATTTAATACAAAAAAGGAATTCCTAGAGTGTCGAAGACCCATCATGGGTGCATGCAGACCACCTTGGAAAATCCTTGATTTTCAAAGACGAGCTTTTACTCCGAAATGAGATAGAGGCCCTTGTTACGGATGTTTACAAACCTGCGGTGATGTAGCTACTAATTCTCACGTGGCGCACCTACTAAAATAAATGACGTAGCGTGTGAGACACATTTAAGAGAATTTCATAAAATTTACTTAGTATCGTCTCTCTGACAATAGTAGGAACGAAAGTCAGCCTTTTAACGGCAACAAATTGCAGCCGATAAGAGACGCCGTTCCTCCGTAGATTCGATCGGAAAGTGTATGACAGGTTCGAGAAACGAGATCTGGTCGACACTCCGTAAAGATTTTCCACCTTATCTGAAACACGCGTTTCTTCCAGGGATCCCCAAGGATAGAGAACGGGAAAGTTCCATTTTCATGGAATCCGTCGCTCGAATTTCCTCCAACTCCGGCTATAGAGATTTTCCTCGCGTCGTTTAACGCGAAGAAACGAGAGAATTACTTTGGGGAAATTGTCCACCGTGCTTGAAACTACCGACACACCTTTAAGTCCCACCCTGAAAGGGAAACGTAACTTCTACTTTTCCCTGCTGGGAAATTGGATGTACCTAATTTAGAGAGCTGCGTTACCTACGCGATTACGTACCTCGCCCT